ACACACACACACACACACACACACACTCAAACATGCGCACATACACACACGCACGCACGCATGCACACACACTCACGCACACACACACGCACTCACACATCAGTTACGCAACGTGTCCCTGTCTCAATCAGTGGGTGGTTGTACAGATGATTGGAGACAGTCCTACGTCTTTTCTTCCACTCACGTGGGTGGTTGGCGGGTGCTCTGGTGTGGTTTGCTCCTTCTTTCCTATCAAACATCTATCGTCCTGATCTCTCCTCCTTCTTTTTTTAATGTTTGTTACTTACTCTCTTGTAACACCTCCAATCTTCAGCACGTATAATATGACCTTATTGTGTTGCAAGTGCCGTAAAGTTCTTACTAAAACTAAACTTCTTCCACTCTGTTGTTTCTGTCTGTTTTCCTTGTTTTCTTCCCCAGCACTGAATGACAGTTATTGTGTCAACATGCTTCTCTTTTCTCAAACAAACACATTTAGAAATTATTTTTTTTAAACAACTAGAGGATGGCTGCACTCAGAGCGCGTTAATAGATCCCACTATTTTGTACATGTTTTTCCTTTATTTTCTTCCGTTGTCTCTATCAATCTTGCCATATTTTCTTGTTTCCCCTGTCTGCCTATTTTGTTTTTCTTTCTTCTACAACATCTGTTTGTCTATCTTGCTTTTCCCTGAACGAAATAGCCGTTATTGTGTTTGCTGGCTTTTCAGCACCGTCGCCAAGCTGCACCAGTGTTGTGTCCACTCTCTTGGTTTTGATGAGCACTGGAGCTTGTCTATGTTCCCCCCAGCTCTATGTTCGCTCAAGTCAACTTACATGCTATGTCATGTCTTAATGCCATGTGCCATGACATAGGCCATACCATATTACATGACGTAAATATCTCTTGACTTGAAGGAACATAAAGCTGAGTGAACATAGAGCTGACCCCATGATCACCACTTGTACACTCATCACACCCCTTCCATGACCTGGGGATGAGACACACACTACACACTCACACCACAGGTTTCCACACACTCGCGTTCATGGGTGCGCGCACATACTACTCACACTGCCATACATGCACAGACATGCATGCATGTACAGACAACACACACACGTTCAAACGAACACACAAAACTAATTCGTGACAATTCCTATACTCTCTCTCTATCTCTCTCTCTCTCTCTCTCTCTCTCTCTCTCTCTCTCT